GGACCCAGCTGCCTTGGGGACAATGGGAACAACAATTCCCCTAAATCTTTTAAATTCACCAAGACTAGACACATCACCAACACCTTTCCAGGGGGAGAAAGAAGCAAGCCTACCACTGACTGGCATTCTCCGTGCCTCAGTTTCCCCACAGTGACTCCAATCCCCACAGACATCCCACGTGCAGCAGCGCATCACTTCGAAATGACAACTCATATCTCTCCCATCCCTTCCCACCCCAAATTTCTTCCCGGTCCCAATGCTTTTGTTTCCTTTCCTTCATTCATCCTTCTCCCCGTGCACATGGCTACAGGTCTCCACAGGCAGCGGCTGGCCGGCGCAGGTTCTCTCTTTTTTTGCAGTTTCACTCCTGCCTTTATTCGCTCTTCAGTGCCAGAATTTTCCCCCTCCCAAAGCCCCCAGCTCCTTTTCCACCGGCTCTTAATTCCCCTGCCACTTCCAAGCTGGCCTCAAAGAGACCCCAGAAGCTTTCGGGCTGTTTCCCGTCACCCTTCGTTAGCTAGCGTGCCGCAAACGAAGGCTACCGAATTAGTCACCCGCCTCTGCTGCAGAGCAGCTGCTCGGCGTCGGACCAAAGGTCTGCCTGGTACCGGGCTGCTTCTCCCTCCCTTCCCCACGTCTGCATCCAGGGATGAGGGATCTCGCCCGGATGAAAAAAAAAAGTTTTTTTTTCCCCCTGCCAATCCTTTTTAAATAGTAAAAGAAAGAGGGAGGCAGCACCGTCGCACCGCTCGGAGATACTTTTCCTCCCTTTGTGCTTCCTTTTGCTTTGCTCTGAGCCTCTCTGTTTACCAGGCTAATAAAGCCGGCTCCGTGCCACCAGCTCCGGGCTGCACCTTTTCCCCGGAGCCCAGCCCATCCCAAACATGCAAATCTTGTCCGGAAACCTCCTGCCAGCTTTACCCTCTCAAAGTCACCTTGCCCCAAACCTTCAGCTCCACAATCCGGGCTCGCTCGGCAATCATTAATCGGCTTCTCTGCATTCCCGGCATGGAAAAATGCCCCAGCGGGTAACCCTGCCCTGGCAGTCCGACATGCAGCTGGCCGGCAAGCTGGTCCTCTCCGCCACCGCTCTGCTCCTCCTGACTTTGGCGTACAGGTTTTATAAGTCCCGCTCGCTTGCCGGGGGCAAAATCCCACCGGCTGATACGGGAGGAGAACAGAGGGGAAACGCTGCCCGGGATGGGGACGGGGATGGGGATGGGGAGGAGGGTGTTGGGTGGGGAGGTGAGGAGGGATGGTGGGGAGGGACAAGGAAGCATCCCAGCTGGCACCGCTGGGACACGGCGCACGCCTCCCCGGGGGGATCGAAGTCGGCCAAGAAGTGAGGAGGAGGATGGAGAGGAGATGGATTCTGACCTGGGGATGATTGGTGGGAGAGTGAGGATGGCCGGGAGGGGAAGCGAGCTGGGAAGCGAGCCGGGAAGTGAAATGGGAAGTAAGTCTGGAAGGGAGACAGGAATTGAGCTGGGAAGTGAGCCAGGAGGTGAGCCAGGAAACAAACCAGGAAGCAAGTTGGGAAGTAAGCCAGGAATCGAGCCGGGAAGTAAGCCGGGAATCAAGCTGGGAAGTAATCTGGCAAGCAAGCCAGGAAGCAGGCCAGGAAGCAAGCTAGGAAGTGAGCCGGGAAGTGATCTGGCAAGCAAGCCAGGAAGCGAGCCAGGAAGCAAGCCAAGGTCTTATGACCACGGGGACGCGGCCAAACCACCGGGCAGCCGCGGGGAGGAGGGCACGCTTGCCCCAAGCACCGGGCTTTTCCCCGGGATTGCTAATGCCCGGATGGCAGATGACATGTGCACCCAAGGCATGGAGCAGAGTTTGGCCATCACAGACATGACCCAGGAGGCCAAGGAGCGTGGGGGGATGATCCAAACCCTCAGCGTCACCTCAGACCTGGGGCTAACGATGACAGCGAGCAACGCAGGATCAGATGCCTCCTACTCTTTCTCCTCGGTCGCAAAGATCCAAGTGGAGGAGAACTACATCACCGAGCGGCAGGTGAAGGACAGAGCTGGGCAGCCAGTCCCCGGCCTCAAAGGCAAAGTCTATGACTACTACGTCCAGTCCATCTCCCAGTCGGTGTCAAAGAAGAGGTCTCCTCCTTACATCCCCCTGAGAACACCCCGGTGCCGTAGCTTGGAGGGGGTCGATGAAGAGCTGAAGGGCTTTGCAGCCCAGGAGCTGGACCCAGCTTTGGCAATGTGGGGTTCCACCACCTCCTCCATAGTCCCACAACCTACAGGGAGCTTGGAGATCTCCCCTGAGCCGCCATCTCCTGGCCGCAAGGACAGCATCCTCCAGATTGCCGACAGTCCCCACCTCCAGCTGCCCATGGAGGGTTTTGGGGTCAAGATGCCGGCCGGCACACCACCGGCAAGCCCTCGTCCAGAGCTGGTGGCCAGTGCCAACATCTTCCACATGCCACCACCCACCCACCTGGACCTGGGGAACTGCTACGAGGTCCTCTGCATGGCCAAAGCACAGAAGCTTGGCCACCTCCAGGAGGCTGCCTACAAGGTGATGAGTGACAACTACCTGCAGGTCCTGAGGACACCCTCCATCTACGGCCGCCTCAATGCCAGCGAGCGGGAACTCATCCTGCAGCAGAGGATGAAGGGGAAGATGTATGTGGCTGTGGCAGATGTCAACGTGAAGGAGCCTGGCCTCCACAACAGCCGCCTCTGCTACTACGACGATGGAGGGGACTGCTGGCGTCACCTCTGCCACGTGCCACCGGAGGTGGTCTCCCGGGGGTGCGCCATGTGCAGCATGTTCAACTACCTCTTCGTGGTGGCTGGCTGTGAGGGCACGGGCCGGGCACAGAGACCTTCCAACCGTGTCTTCTGCTACGACCCCCTGACTAACATCTGGAGGGAGATCTGCCCCCTGAATGAAGCACGGCCGCACTGCAAGCTCGTGGCCTTGGATGGCCACCTCTATGCCATTGGCGGCGAATGCCTCCACACGGTGGAGTGCTACGACCCCCGGCAGGACCGCTGGACCTTCACTGCACCCCTGCCCCATGACACCTTTGCCGTGGCCCACACAGCCACGGTGTGTGATGGGGAGATCTACGTCACAGGGGGCACCTTGCGCTACATGCTGCTGCGTTATGCCGCCCGCTCAAACAGCTGGAGGGTCAGCCCGGCCGGCGGTGGCAAAGACAGGACGGCCGAGATGGTGAGCGCCAATGGCTTCATCTACCGCTTTGACTTCCACCGCAGCATGGGCATCAGCGTCTACCGCTGCAGCGCCAAGGCTAAGCTATGGTATGAGTGTGCCACCTACTCCATACCCAACCCATCCAGCTTCCAGTGCGCCATGGTGGGCAGCCTGGTCCACTGTGTTGGTCGGCACTTCCACATACGCTTCTTGGCTGACCACATCTCACCTCGCTTTGGGACCAAGGAGCTGCAGCCCTTCCCATCACCACGTGGCAGTCTCCTCCTAGCTGTCCTGGTGCTGCCAGAGGTAGGGATGGTGCAAACACAGGTTTGAGGGATCCATGCTGGGGTCTTATGCAACAGTGGTGGTGGCTCAGACGTGACATGATGGTGAAAGCTGGTAGAAGAAGCCATGAGCCCACATTGGACCACATAGCATGGGACCAACATTACCAGGACAATGTTACCTATACCTACCATCAAGCAGGCATCACACCAGTCCTCATAAGTAAGGGAGGAGACAAACTGCCCTTGGATACTGCCAATAAATCCAGCCTTGAAGACACAAGGAAGAGCAAAGAAGGAACTAGGTGGACTCGTTTGCTTAGAGATATTTAAACATAGGTGTGCTTTCTTGGATGCAAATAAACCACAGCTTGCTGCAGGCTCCCAGCTGGGCACTGCCCAACAAGTATCTGCTTTACACATCGGGTGTCTAATATTGACAAGGACACGCAACACATGGGGGATTTTAGGGTGGAGGAACACAGCAGCGAGGTTTGAACCCTAAGGAGGTATCACCCAAAGGTCAGCCCCATCAGCATCAAGCCAACATCGAGCCTTCAGGCTTGACCGCACATATCACCCCGGGGTTGGAAGCTGGGGGCCAGAGGGTGCACTGCTCCTACCAGTGCCTTGTCACCTGTTACCTTCTCCTCAGCACAGAATTATATATATCTATATATATTTATATGCATGCAATGTAAATAGGCACTATAGATTTACAGACAAATTGTCTTAAATGAAATTAAAGCGAACATTTGGTAAAATTAACCACGGGCTACTGTTGCGCATCATTTCAAGCCGTAGCCAAGCCTAATGGGAACAAAGAGGCTGATGCATGTTTTGCATCAATAATTACTGCACAAACAATGTCTTTGAAGAGGCAACCAGAAGCAAATTAGGGCTCTGGATGTAAGCAGCCGGTTGTTCATCCCCTTTTCCCTGGGTTTCACCGACCTCGCTCCGCTGTCTCCATGTCCTGCCAAAAGCCTACTTTAGGTAATTGAATTTTCTTCCCCTCAAACAGCTTGTCATCTGTCATCTGTCAGTCCCAGACAGACAAAACCAGCTCCCAAATGGACAAAACCCTCCTGTACCTGCCTCCTCGGTCATGGGCACGAAGTCATGGATGTGCTTGAAGTGCTTGGAGATAAGCAATGGTGCTGGAGCAGCCCATGGTATCACCATGTACACCTTGCTGCTCATGGTGGTTTAGGACACCTTAAGTTAATGTTCTCTCAAAATGCTCCCAAAAGTATTTATTACTTCTCTCGGTCACTGCCTGGAGGCCTTGTGTTTCTGCTTTCAAGGGCTTCCTACGAAGGTCAGTGGCATCCACCCATGTTAGGAGACCTTAGGAGGCTGCATTAATTAACTCTGCCTCTGAGGTTTGCTTGTTAGCCATAGTGTGTTGCTTCTGCTGATGGAGGGTGGGTGCTGCATCTTCTCATATCTATCATTATCAGTGAATTCCTTGCTAATTAGTCACCTCCATAGCCAGCGCTCAGAGCAGCAAGCTCAACAAGACTCACGTGTGCTGGAACACATCTCTGCTTCTCCCCCAGCAAAACCCAGGCACCGGCTGCTTTACGGGAGCAGCCCAGCCCCCGCCAACCTGCAAAAGCTTCTTGTTGCCATCAGCATCCCTGCTCCAGCACCCGGCCCCTTCGGCACACCCGCCAGGGCAGGGTGGGTGCTGAGGAGCAGAGGGTGCACTGGCTGGGTGGGAGCTGGGTGCCTGGACCCCTTCCAGGCAACAGCTTTTTGTTTTGGTGTTTTTTTTCATCCCCAGAAGAGCTTTCCTGGGATCCTGCCCTTCTCATGGTGCCTCTTTGCTTCCGCTTCATGTTTCACCTTTCCTTTAACTCCATGCTGCCAGGTTGCAACCTAAAAACCCAGCAGCTTTTCCTCATTCCCCAGCGTGATGGTGAGAATAACAACAACCGAGGGTGGGCAGCTCTCCCCCCGCTCCTGCACTCTCCAATATTAACACGATTCGCCCGGGGAGGCATTTTGGAGATTAAAAGCACTGGGGAGGACAAACAGATTTGGAGCAAAAAGCATGCGGCGATCCTGTGGCTGACAGCAAAATGACTTTTGGCTGTGGTTAAGGGAAAGCAAAAGGGAAAGGACAAATGCAAACCGATACTCAGACCTGGACGAATTTGCCGATTTTTTTTTTTTTTTTTTTTTTTTTTTTCTCCCAAACACCAGTGCATGGGAGGAGCCCTTGGAGGGCTGGCAGGTGCGGTGCAAGGGCAGCGTCACCGGCCAACAACTGCCACCACCGCCAGACCCCGGTCATTGATTTCCGACAGCGTCAGACACCCATCTCTGTGTTTCTGCTGATGGGCAGCGGCTTCAAACCACAGGCTTGTGGCTCTCAGGATAACCATAAGACCATTGAGCAGCTTCAGTGCAGCTTTTAGCATCGGGGTATTATTTATTTTTGCTGATCAGGTTGGCAAAGCTGCCACGATTTACAGGGGAAAAGGGTTGGGAAGTGGGCAGTGCATCCTAATAAAACTCCGCAGCGTGCACCATGGAGCTAGAAACCACCCTGAGCAAGTTCAAGTATTGATAAATACTTAGAAGTCACAATAAACCCATCCAGGCTGGGGGTTTACCTGGAGGGTCCTGCTCTTGGGAGCCCCTTCCCTCGCTGCAAGACCAATCGCTGCAAACCGGGACCTTCGCTGGGTCGGGGACCACCAGGGCGGGGTGCTGGAAGAGAAAACATGACCACCACCGGGCTTGTGAGAGCTGGAAAAACCAATTTCCACCATCCACCAGCAATTCTTCCATCCCTACAGTTCCCTCAAGGGTGCCACCGAGGATGCTCACCAGCAGAGAGTTCCTTCATCACCAACGCCTGGACCCATCGCTGCCCTCTGAGCCCCCTGCCCGGTTTATCTCCCAACAGAAGGGTGCAACCACCAAACCGCAGTGCTTCACAACCAAATATAACCTTTGCACTAAATTCAGTATTTTCATCTAATCAGGAAGACCCATTATCTACCCCCACCACGTTTATTTAGGCAATTACATAGTTTAATGTACATTGATTCAGATTCTTAATTTTTACATTTTTGATTATGATAAAAAACCAGTGAGTGACGCATTTCTTATTTGCTCTGCGCTCTTTTTTCCCTTGCAATGTGCCGGGCTGCATGCGAATGGAAATTGGAAGTCAATTAAAGAAGTGCAAAACCAGCATTTTAAAATCTTTTTTATTAGTTAAACACAGCTACCTTCAATGTGTCGGCTACAGCAGGGTGGGAAAAAAAACCACAAAAAAGCAAAAAAATGAGCTTATCCAGACATGTTTTGCATTTAAAACCGACACAATACATGGAAGAAATATTAAGCGTAGCGAACTGACAAATTAAGTATCTTGTTCCTGACAAGCGGGAGCAAACTCGGGTCAGTGGTTGAGGAGCCGGGTGGGAATTTAAAGCCAGGGGAAGGGAAAGACCCATCGCAGCATCTCTAGGTGCCGGTAAGGGAGGTGGCACCTCTTGGCCCCTGGCCGTGATTTCTCCTAGACCTTCTGGAGAGTTGTCTACAGCAACATCTACACTGCCACGGGCTGTGTTGCCATCAGGAGAGCCTCCATGAGATGTTTAAAGCCAAGGAGAAATGTTGTGTCCTTTCCCACTCATTTCTTCACCTCTCCTGCACTTAATCCAAGCTGACCACCCACACATGACCACCAGCAACCCCTTGGTAGAGCAGATCCTGGAGGCACCAGCCTCATCCTTTCTCTGCTCTGGGTTTACAACCAAGAACAGCCCAGTTGTGTAGACAAGGAGCTACACCCAAGCTGCAGAACCTCATTTACAAGCAGATGCTAACGAACCAGGGCTCAGCACGACCCCCATCGCTTGCAAGACCCAGACCTGCTTGCCTGGTGCCAAAGGGACGTTCCTTGTGGGCATCCACAAGGCACCGCTCCGGGAACGTCAGCCAGCTCCTTGTGAGCATGGAGAGGTCAGTGCTAATGAAAGATGCTATCACAGAGCCGGCGTCCGGCCAGACAAATGTAATTAGCGGTATTTGCAGAAGACAAACCTTGGCGAGAACGGGGGCGGGGGGGGGATGGGAGCACATCCCCTTGTGATCGTTTTGGGGAAAAAACACGGCCATTTGGAGGCCTTCCAAGCTAGAATAACAGCCTTGCCAATGACTATTTAATTAAAACCCGTGCGGCGTTCGAAGGGAGAAGGGCTGCGAGTGAATAAGCGCGGTGATAAAATATGCATCGACTCCGGCATAAGTTCTCCCTCCCCGGCACAAGCCTTTGCTTAAACCGTTGATGGTTTTTGATTCACAAGCTCCAGCGAGGAGGGAACATTTGCCAGCCACTATTTCAATCCCGCTGGGAGTTTTTTCCGGGGGTTATAGCCACGCTGTAGTTTAGGATGTGTCAGCGCTGGCATCATAAACACAGATCAGAAACGCTATAAAAGGAGGGGAAAAAAACCCAAAACCACACTCCTGGCTGGAGTTTAACATCCTGTGAGCTTGGGCCAAAGGCAAATTATTTCTCCGTTACTGAAATAAAATCAATAAAGCTCATTTTTATTTACAGAAGAGCCAAAGAGGGGGAGAAGGGAAAACTCCTCGAGCTGCAGAAGGGGGGATAGGGGTGTTTATGGTTTTCAGCTGGTTTTCAACAAAAAACACAAGGCACTGGCAGTGATTTCAAGGCAAAAAGCAGCGGCTGGGCTCTTCTCAGCTGCCTTTCATGGACATTATTGAAAATATCCCCAGGTCCCTTAGTGGTGCCAACCCTGGGGTGAAACCCCTCACCCCAAGGCAACCTGGGGAGATGCTGTCTCCAAAGAAGCTACCTTCTAGCTACATAAAAACAGATTTATTATTATATCAGGTATTTTGGTTCATCGCTCTCCTAAAACACGCACTGGACACAGAGAGGGGGTGAGTATGTGGTTTGGGGACAACGGACTCTGTGTTGGGTCACTGCCCCAAAAATACTTCAATTCCCATCAGGGCAAATGACCTTTTAGTTGGTCACTCTTTTCTGAACAG